TCTTCTCGTTGATATGCCTAGGTTTTCAATTCAAAATCCGAGGACTTCTTAGAACTGTCCAGCAGAGGGACCCCTGTCCTCATTTCTAAATTCCTATTTCGGTAAACCCACTTCTAACTGGCTGCTTCTTGACCCTCATGATGAGGAAAGTGAGCTGAGGATGGCTACATCCTCCACTGGGGAACACTGGGAGCCATTAAACTCTTTAAACAAGGCAAGGCATTATGAGGTTTAGACCTCTATGCTATGGCGGTGTGAACACCACTGGGCTGCCAATGTGCAGGTGTGATTAAGGGGCAGGCCTGAAGATAGAGACCATGAAAAGGGAAGCTGCCAAGTCCAGGCAGGAAACAATGGCCACAGGGCTGGAGAGAGGGAAAAACACTGACTTTACAAGGTGGCAAAACTAGCATGACCTGACAGCTAATCAGATTGGGGGAGAAGATTCCCAGGTTTTCAGCTCTGGCAGCTGGGTGCAGGGGTGCAAGGAATTATCCTGTATCCTTTCTTGTGTTATGACAGTTGGTGCAAAGGTGCTGAGTTGTGATTGTGCCCATAACTTTGGAGGCAAATGAATAACATGGGCTGCATGTCCAGTAAAATGGGTGTTACTGGGTCCACAGGGACCGGGCACGTACTTCATCAATTACAGCCATGATTGTAGACTCATGTTTGCTGATAAAGTTGGTTTATGTGTGGTTTTGACATGCAAGTGGCCCTTTTCTCTATCGCTCTCAGGAGGAATGACTTAGAGTAAAATTATCCCAAAATTCATATCATCTTTTTTAAGATAAATATCCTAAAATATTAACTTGCCTATAGCTGAACACCTTACATAGCAGTACACTGGATGAAAATTATTTTGCAGTTTCTCTTCACTAGGAATCATATGGCTTCATGTGAAAGGGCTTGACTGAAACAACTGTATAATTCTGGTGGGAGTTTGTACATACCTTTAAACTTTTCAGGCATAGATTGTAAGCACTCTGCTCTAAGGCAAATAATTTTGGACACTCAGTCTTTCAATTTCCATGTGTTGGAACAAACTGCATGTCAGTTTTTCGGGAAGTCTGTGGGTGGTCTTTTCAGCAGCAACTCACAGTACCACCTTGACACTAGTATGTTTGTATTAATAAGATGGATGCACGTATCCTGATAAATCTCTAATTCCATAAGCGGCTCTCTTTGTGAATAAGTTTTTGTCTTCATTACAGATTATTCCTATTACATATATTTTCTATTTTTTTTGGCATAATTTTTTTTATTTATAGAGCCAAAAAAGAACCTTAAAGATCATAATGAATGATTTTGTCATTGTACATATGAAGAAACCAAGGAGCTGGGTTATTAAGTGGCTGCATGAAGTCACGTGGTCAGTGAGATTTAGCCTTTAGACCAATGCAATATACATCTAAATATAAAACCAGTGGCAAGGAAAATTCCAAATTTTTTCTTTTTAAACAGACCATAGATGGTTAATTTCAGAAGAAAATAACATTAAATATTTTCTGTACTATGAGTTTCTTATGAGTCTTCTTTTTTAAAAATTATAACAGCAAAAGGTATGTTTTGTTTTTAATGTTTGTTAGTTTGCTTATAAGAGAGTAGTCATAAGAAGTTCTTCAAAGTATATAACCAGTTTTCTTGGGAAACACCACATCTATGTTGTTTTCAATTTCAAATTGCAAAATCTGTTGATACCTTAGCAAATGGAGATGAAAGAAGAAAATGACATAATGGGAAAATGACATTAAAGGAGGAGACATGCCTAGAAGGGGCTAATTTTAAATACTAAATGCCAAGACAGCACACTCAAACCTGATAACTTTTTTGATATTTTCCCTTATTTATCAAAATAATATATCAGTATTTATCCTCATTGTGAACCATTCAAAAAATAAAGAATAATTTAAAGAAGGACATAAAAAATAAGAGTAAATAAAAAATAATGGTAATTCCAATTATCAGTTATTATCTTTTTACATTTTAGTATTTTTTTGCACAAATGTAATTTTAAAAGATGAGGTAATTCTATACATTCTATTTTTAGCCTGCTATTGTTTTTTTTTATTTCAGCATATTATGGGGGTACAAATTTTAAGGTTTCAAATAATGCTCTTGCCCCCCCCACAAGTCTGAGTTTCAAGCGTGACCATCCCCCAGATGGTGCCCATCTCACTCATTATGTACGTATATACCTGCCCCCTCTCTCAATTTTTGTTTTCTTTTTTTTAAAATTTATTTTACATTTATTTTTCTTTTCTTTCTTTTTTTTCTTTTTTTTTTTTTTTTTTTGAGGCACTGGGACAGTCTGGCATGTAGACCAGTACTCAATTAATGTAGTTCCTATGTGTCCACTTAGGTGCTGCTCAGTTAATACCAGTTTGCTGGTGACTATATGTGGTGCTTGTTTTTCCATTCTTGGGATACCTTGTTTTAGTAGTCCTATTCCATATATTTCAATATGAGGAATTTCTAGGTAAAACAGTATTGACTTTCTTAAACCTATTGAAAATGTAGTTGGCTGAATTGATTTCAAGGCAAATTGTAGTAATTTATATCATCATCTGTTGTGTATAACAGGTCAAGCTGCATAACGACCTCATTTACATTGGATGTTCCATGGGATTTTATTTTATTATATGCCAGTTTAAAAATGAAAACTGAAATACTGATGTAGTATTTCTGGTTTTAAATATTAGTGAGATGTAACAGTGTCAACAGTTATTTTCCATTTATATTTATTTTGTTTTTATTATGTGATATCTTTTGTTTATTTACTCATAATAGTTTTATTTTTTATCCACTTTATACTAAAAAGCTTTGCACTACTTCTTCTACATTTTAGCACCTTCAAATAAGTGGGCCTTGACTTTGTTCCTACTGCTTTTTCCCCTGTATTTTCCTATATTCTGAGTCTTTGATTTTTGTATTCTGCTTCATAATGTTAGCTACTCTTTCTTAAACTTTCAGATACACATTTTGCTAATTTAGTTTAGTCATTTGTAACGGACAAATTTCATTATCATAGTAATTTATATCTCATTACAAAGTAATCAAATTTAGGCCTTCAGCCCTTGGCATTACTTAAAGAAGGTTGTTAGATGTACATCAGATATGAGATGGATGAGAGGCATGAGAGAGCTTTGTAAATGGGCGGTAAGCCTTTCTACCATGGAGCAGAGCCAGATCTCACCTAAATATGGCCCCAAAGTCATATACGTGATGCTATTTTCCAAATTTTGCTCACAAAGAGCATCTTGCTCAAGTACCCCACCAGCAAATGGTTTGGAGAAAACTATATAAACAATCATAAATAAACTAAAAACAAACAACAAGAAATACAAGACCCCATGTACTACTTTCCTGTGCAGCTAAACTTCCTTTGCAGGTAGTTCTCACCTGGGGCATTGCTATCTCCTTCAGTAGAGATTGTTGTTATTGTCGTCATCGTCAAAATAACTAAAGATCGATTGTAGGCAGATGTGCAGGACTCTCTGACCCAAGGAGTTTACAGGAACCGCCCTCTGAGTTTCTGGAGAACCCGGCCACTGGCACTACTTGCAGATCTCCTGGAGCCTGGCAGGTCCTGCGGTGGGACTAATCGCCCTTGAAAGCTGGGGTCTGCAGATGCTGGGGACAGACTTGGCGCCTTGAGAGTTCCTGCCCTAGGCAGCTTCCTAAGGGTCAATGCTGCAGGACCTATGGCAGCGATCAGTGAGGGAAGCTTGGATTGGATTTGAAAAGGAGGCCTATGCTAAAAGAGGGGGAGAATGAATATTTAGGTACAGGTATAGATAAGGTTATGGGCAAAAGTTATGAAGCAGGTAGTAGCCACAACCTACGTATCACGGGGATGTGAGGTTAATCCTCCCAGGAGGGGCCCTAACCGCAGAAGCAGCGGTAGCATAGCCGGCCGACCACTAGGTGGCAGGAGAGTTCCACCACCGCATCTTACCTCATTGGGACTTTGGCTTTACCCGGAGAAGCGGGATATCGGTTTCTTGATTCCGACGGGACAGTACCTGTAGCAAGCAGGGCTGATGCTCACCTTCCACGGCAGAGTATGACCTCAGGAAAATCATTTTGTGTACACCATCCTGGTGTGTAAGCGAGTATCTTTTCCCCACTCAGGCCAGTTCTCCCCCTCGTCCCTCCTTGCAACACCAGACCCTGTACCGAAGGGCGGACCACAGCTGTTTTGCAGCCTCATGCACTGCCAGCTTACTCGCCCTGTATGTTAGGGTTAACCCCACCCTACTCCCGCCCATTCCCTGAGCTTCCCCTCGGCCTCCCTGTTGCTAGGAATCCCCCACCCGCCGCCTTCCCTAACCCAGCTGCTACGGCTTGCAATCCACAGGGTGGGAGGAAGCCTGTTTTTTTTTTTTTTTCTTTTCCCTGCTATAAGCCTGGATATTTTATTGGAAGACAAATGTAAACTGCCCGGCAACCACTCTCACCCCTCCCCCGTCCGTTCCCTCCCTCCCCGAGCCACATGACTGACAAATGCCCCTTTTGCTGGTCTCTCCACATGGCTAACAAACCCGGTTATCTGCAATCCCGAAGTTGGATTGCCCTCCTACCCTACATACCCTTAAAGGAAATTTTCTGCTTTAAATTACAACTTTACTGGCTTGGTACTAACACATGTGATTTAATTAATCTCCTTGAACCTTACACCTTCACCTGCAAAATGCCTATTTTGAAAGATTATTGTGAGGATTAAATCAGATGAGGCATATGACCCCTTCTTGATTTGGCCTCACTGACTTATGAAGTTTTACTTTTGGATTAATGAAAATTTTATGCTTCACCGCCTGCCACAATCACTGCATCATTGTAAAGATGAATGGCGCACTTTCCTTGGGAAACTGTTTCCTCCTGGTGGTGTTTACTATCACTGAGAGTAGTCTTGGTGTGTGTGTCTATTCAGAGAGTGTGGCAAAACTTGGCTTCCACCATCTAGAGTGAAAATTAGAATAAAGACAAACACTTCCATGTTATGCTAAAAGTATATTTATATATATAGATATAGATATTTACTTTTCTGTAGACAGTTTTACTGATGAGTCATTTTAACGTTCAAAGAACAACCAATTACAATGCTACATAATTAGTACCAGAATGAGATGGATAGCTTCTCAATTCATTTCACAAAGCCAGCACAATTCTGATACCAAAACATAACAATTATAACACAAAACAGAGAACCACAGATTTCACTTAAAAATACAAATGCCAAAATACCAAAGAGAACAGTAGCCAATTGAAATCAACACCACATGAAAATGTACAAAGCTTTGGCAGATATGGAAACAAATGGAAAAATCCAAACTTACACACATGGAACTGGAACATAAACACCAGAAACATAGTAACCCCCTCCCCCATCAGTGGCCCCAGGGAAAACAAATGAACGAGATCTCTGCTGCACTTATTAATGGGGAGGGGGGCTGCTGGTGGGGCTGCCGGGATCATCACCGGCTTCAGAATCATCCTCATCTGTATCGTCAGACTCACACTCTGCCAGCGCTTCAAAGTAATGGAATGGCCAGCTCTGTGGATCTTTCTTATGGAGCTTGGCCAGAAACCTCAGGACAAGCATCTTGCTGGTTTCGAGGAATGCTCGAGGGCCCCAGAGGAACTCATATTCTGCTGGCTCAGTGCAGGGGATTCGCCTGTACTCTAGGTACTTGTGCCTCACAAACACTTCGGTGATGAGCTTCTTTGCATTTCCGAAGAGACCATTTGTCTCCTGGACATCCAACCCTAACTTGAACAGAAAATTAAAGATCAGATCCTCCCTGACACAATTGCCCTTCATGAAAATAAGGCTCAAGACCACCATCAGGAGCCCTAGCTTGGGCTTGTCTAGGTAGGATGCCACCAAATCACCTGTAGGATGCCCCAGCTTGTTGATGATAATATAGGAGTGGTTTGTGGCATCAATTTCCTTCAATTGATAACCAAAGGCACACTCCAGCTTACTGTTGGCACGGCTGATAATATCTAAGCACTCATCTTTATATTCTTGGATGATGACTTTCACCATCTCTGAGCGCTGGATTGGCACTTTGGCTTGGTCCTTGACCAAGAGGAACTGCACCAATGCATTTGCTCTCTCATCCAGGGGAGACAATGGCTGTGCCTCCACCTCAACCTGAGTGGCACTGGACCCCTGAGAGAGACAGGGGACCTCAGAGATAAATAAGGTATGAGGGATACCTGGTCCTTCAAAGGTACCTGGGCCCCTCGAGGTGCTTGGCCCCTCCCAGGTACTGAGTGCCCAAGTTGTGGTGGGCCCCTCCCAGCCACTCAGGATCCTGGAGGTACTAGGGCCCTCCCAGCCATTCAGGCCATGGGGAATGCTTGGGGTCTCCCAGTCACCCAAGACCTGGATAGGGCTTTGGACTGCCCAGGCACTCAGATTCGGATTCTCCCAAGACCTTTGGTCCTGCCAGTCACGAAAGGCCAATGTATGGCCGCGGCTGTCCTCTTCAGGTTCCAGATGCTTCTTCTTCCGGGTGGCTTTGCCAGAGCGGCGTGGGGGCTCCACGGAGGTCTTTGAGGCCTCTGAAGCAGTGGCAGTTGCCTGGGGGGCAGCTGCTGTAGCCATCAGGACAGTGGGCACTGCTTTCGATGCATTTGAGGCACTCACATTGGGCTGTGGAACCCATGGGCCTGCAGGCAGGGCCTCTGCACAGGCAAAGGGATCCTGCAGAGGAAATGGCAGTGACTTTGGGGCCTCCGAGGTGACAGAGGGGCCTGGAAAGGCATTAGAAGAGGCAGGCTGAAAATAGGAGGTAGAGGGAAAGGCCCTTGAGGTGGCAGTGAAGGTCTCCGATGTGGTAGGCAGGCTCTTCCAGGCAGTTGGCAGGTGTGCTCGTGTAGTGGACACTGCCCTGGGAGCACAGAAGGTGGCAGCAAAGATCATGCGGTCCTTTGAAGGGGCCCTCCGTTCCTTCGAAGAGGTCCTACGTTCTTTAGAAGAGCCCCTGGGTTCTATAGAAGAGGCCCTGGATTCTCCTGATGGAGTCATCAATGATTTAGCCGAGCCCCGGGGAAAATTTGACGAGGCTATTGGGGCTCCGGGCTGGGCCTGCAAGACTTCTTGGGGGCCTTGCCAGGAGGATTGGTGCTGCACCGCAGGCAGCTCTGCTTGCGGGTCCGAGGGCTCGGCCTCCTCGGCGGGTAGCTGGATTTGCAGGACTTTCTGGGAGGGCGGGGCTCCCCGAAAGGGCTGCTGCTGCTGCTGTACAGCCGGGGGAGCCTGCCTCTGGGCCTCCTGAGCAGGCAGGGGCTGCCAGAAATGAGTGGGGGCCTTCGGGGCCTGCCAGGCTACTGCCTGAGTTGGCTGCACCTCCTGGAACTCCATCGACGACGTTGGTAGCTCATGTGGCACTGGGGGCTGGCCTTTCGGGGCTTGCCAGATGATGGAGGGGCAGTGCACAGCCGGAGGGGCAGACAGTGGGACAGACAGCGGGGCCGGCAGCACAGGCTGCGGCACCTGCAGGCCAGCGGGTGGCGCCGCGGGTACCTGCGTAGCAGCTGCAGCCGTAGGCACCTGCGGCGCCGCCTGCACCTGCGGGGCCGGCAGCCTAGCCTGCGGGGCCTGCCGCAAAGGAGGTGGGGGTGGCAGGGTCTGCCAGAGAGGTGGCTGCGTGGCAATGACCTGTGGGGCAGGTCGGATGGGCGGCGGTGCCTGGCGGATCAGCGGTGGTGCCTGGCGCATCACAGGTGGTGCCTGGCGGATCACAGGTGGTGCCTGGCGCATCACAGGTGGTGCCTGGCGCATCACCGGCGGTGGGCCAGGGCGGATGGGCGGTGGGCCAGGGCGGATGGGTGGGGGGCCCTGGCGCATGGGCGGTGGCGCCTGCCAGGCGATTGCTGGCGCCTGCCAGGTTACCTGCGTGGCCTGCCAGGTCAGGGGTGTAGCCTGCCAGCCTTGCGGCGTGGCCTGCCACCCTGGCGAGGTGGCCTGCCAGCCGGGGGGTGTGGCCAGCTGCGCAGGGGGCGCCTGCGGGACCTGGGGAACGTGCGGAGGAGCCCTTATAACCTGAGACTGGATTTGCAGGATCAGTGGTTGACCCTGCGGGGCCCAAGAAGCCATAGGCTGCCCAGGTGGGGCAGCCGGCTGCACCATCGGTGCTCCTGAAGCTGCAGGCTGGGTGATCGGAGCTCTCGAACCTGGAGGATGAATCATCAGGACTCCAGGACCTGGAGGCTTGGCCATCGGTGCTGCTGAAGGTGGAGGCTGGGTCATCACGGCTCCCGGAGGTGGAGGCTGGGTCATCACGGCTCCCAGAGGTGGAGGCTGGGTCATCACGGCTCCCGGAGGCGGAGGCTGGGCCATCGCGGCTCCCACAGGAGACTGGACCATCAGGACTCCCGGAGTCAGAGGCTGGGCCATCAGGACTCCCGGAGCTGGAGGCTGGGCCATCGGTGTCCCCGGAGGGGGAGGATGCGCCATCGGTGTCCCCGGAGGGGGAGGATGCACCATCGGGGTGCCCGGAGGGGGAGGATGGGCCATCGGGGTGCCCGGAGGGGGAGGGTGGGCCATCGGGGTGCCCGGAGGGGGAGGGTGGGCCATCGGGGTGCCCGGAGGGGGAGGGTGGGCCATAGGGGTCCCCGGAGGAGGAGGGTGGGCCATAGGGACTCCGGGAGCTGAAGGATGCACCATCAGGACTCCCGGAGTTGGATGCTGGGCTATCGGGGCTCCCGGAGGCGGAGGATGGACCATTAGCACTCCAGGAGTCGGAGGCTTGCCCATCGGGCCCCCCAGTGGGGGAGCCTGGACCATCGGACCCCCTAGGGCTGGAGGCTGGGGCATCGGAGCCACCGGGGCAGGCAGCGGGGCAGGCAGCTGGCCCGGCGGGGCCTCCCAGACAGGCTGGGGTGCCTGCCAAGCGGCCAATGAAGCCTGCAAGTCAATTGGAGGTGGATCCCAAGGGACTGGTGGAGCCCGGGAGGAAGCGGGCGGGGCCCGCATCAGAACCGTAGGGCGGCTATAGACAGGCGGCTTCGGGGCCTCCGCTGGAGGACTCGAATCACCCAGATTCTTACTTAGCTGCGACATGTCCCTTGGCTGACAGCTGGTGGGTCTTTTCCTCGGACAGCTGCTGGGCCTTTTCCTCCAGAGAGAAGAGAATGCCTACGTGGCTGTTCAGAGGCTCCCTCTCGGCTGAATGCTGAATAGGAAGTGAGTGCTGCTCTCGCTCTGCAGCTTTCCGCAGTAAGGAGGAGGGGGAAGGGGGCTCAATCCCGCCCCTTCCCCGCCCCCGACCACCACAAGTGGATATTGCATAGGGGCGTCTACCAGAGTCCTGGCTGACACAAGATCTCTTCTCACTCTGTCCAGTCCCCAAGTGCAAACTAGTCAGACTTTACATGGATGAGTTTTGACAGGAGAGTGACAGGAACAGATCCATGTTTTAGAAAAATCACTTTACTGCGGTATAGAATAGGAATAGACCACTGGAAACATGGAAGGTATCCAAGTCGGGGGGAGATGGTGTGGTCTGAGCTCAGACATGAGGCGGGGAATGAAAAAAGCGCATTTATGTAATACGGATTCAGGAGTTTGGGTATACAGATACCTCTATTATAATTTAATATATGAGTCAAAGAAATGGAGAAGGCACACAAGTCACTGTCTTGTGAAAGTGGAAAGTTGCTGGGGCAATTTACTCTCTTGAGGACACAGTGGGAAGCACATGGGGAAAGAGATGAGGAGTACTGACTGAGACGCAGGGTGTCTGCGGTGCTTTGGAACTGCCAAGGAGAGATGCCCTGTGGGCACTCTTGGATGATGGCTTGGGATTCAGAAGACAACTGAGCTGGGAGCTCAGCGTGCCTACCCATGAGAACAGAGATGTAAGAGTGCAGGTGGTTTGCAGGAGAAGAGAGTTTAGAGTGAAACTCCTGACGTCTGTTTTGAATACAGACATATTAGAAAGAGGCAGAGAAAAGGAATGGCAAAGTATGGATACAAGAAAACATATCACGGAAATCAAGGTATGCCCGAAATTGAGGGAAGACAGCATTTTTAATATGGGGAAAACTGCCTGTGGAATGGCTCAGACGGGAACAGAGTGGGTTTCTTAGAGTTGTTTTTCGGTTGCAGAGCAGAAAAGAAATTTAAAAAATGAAACCCCAAAGATGCGCTAGAAAATGATAAAATGTGTGAATAAATAAATCCAAAATTGATATGTAGGAAAAAATAGATGAAAAATAACAGAAAATTTCTAAAAAACAAACAAACAAACAAACAAAAAAACACACTCATGGAAAAATCAGTTTAAAATTGAGATAAGTGATGTATTAACATATAAAGCATCAACATTATTGGGTAACACTATACGACTTTATGCTGAAAATGAGTATCTCTGTGTAGTTGTATGGTTTTCTAGAAATATACAAAGTACTGTGTATCAAGGATGTTTAATTAGAAGCAGCTCTGCAGCCCAGGGCAGGAGTTCATAGTGGCAAAAATGCCACCAGGGGGCGGACGAGGACGATGAAGGATATACCCCACTCCTCCTCTGATACCCCTAGCCAGGGTGCCTCAAATTTGGTAATTTATGGCTCCAAAGAAAGGCATGTACACATTCCCAATGATATTATGCCTTAAATAATGAAAGAAGAATTGGGGTGTTTAGGTTCAGTGATTTTCAGGCCATCAAAAGGTTGTTGTTATTTCCCAGGAAACACTTACTTTCACAGGCAATTGACTTTTGGCTTTTTCAGAGTGCCTAAGAATTTCCTCCTTATCCACAGGAGATACGTTCCAAGACCTCCAGTAGATGCTTAAAACTGAGGATAGTACCATATCTTATATATACTATGTATGTTTTTTTTTTTCTTCTTCTTCAAAATTTTAGGGATAGAAGATTTGTTCTTACCACAGATCTTGGCAACCTCAACATACGTTGTTTTTTCTTTGTTTGTTTGTTTTTTTCTCTTTCTGTATTTCTAGATCTTTTGCCTTTTTTTTTTTCCATAAAGGAAAAGCTTCACAGATTCTGTTTAGCATATCTGAATTGCCAGCATTACTATTCTTGCTCTTTGGGGCCGTTATTAAGTAAAATAAGGGTTATTTGAACACAAGCACCATGATAGGGACAATCAATTTGATAATCAAGATAGCTACTAAGTGACTAATGAGCAAGTGGAATATACAGTAGTCCTCTCTTATCTGTAGTTTCATATTCTGTGGCTTCAGTTACTCACGTTCAACTTCAGCCTGAAAATATTAAATGGACAATTTGAGAAATAAACAATTTATAAAGTTTAAAGTGTATGCAATTCTGAGTAGCATAATTAAATCTGTTCCTTTAATCTCACCTGGGATATGATTCATTTGTTTGTCCAGCGCATCCATACTGTACATATGCAATCCACTTGTTAGTCACTGAGTAGCTGTCTCAGTTATCAGATCAAAAAAACATAGTACATGTAGGGTACAGTACTGTATTTGGTCTCAGGCATTCATGGGGGTCTTGGAATATATGCCCTCGGGTTAAGGGATACTACTGTATGTTACCTTGTGTATATACAGAGAAGGCTATTTACTGCTGGGTACACAGCCTGACACACAGAAAGCTGTTTTGCAGAAATGGATATTACCATGTTTTATGTTTTTAAGTCTTTCCCTTGGGTTAATAGCCCAGCCCCAGATTCACATGAGATTTTTTGGTGTCATGGGGGGTTAGAAACACTGGAAAGAACCAATTCTAAAGGCATAACCCTCATGATCCCCTGTTATGAACTCTGCCATATTGCTGTTACTGGCCATGTATGGCTTTGGGAAAGTTTTTGATGTTTCATTCTAAGACTCTTCTACCTCCACTAAAGCATATAATTTTTCTACTCTAATTCAAATGTATAAACTCATCAGAGATTAAGTTCTCCCACTAATCATTTCTTTTTGTTTTTCAGAAATATGACAAGTTTGACCTTTACTCCAGCATGCTGTGGGTAATCCCACGCAATAAATAGCTACCAGTAGGACCTGGTTGTTTTTAATGATTTTGGAACTCAATGAATAGTACTGACACACGATGTCAACTCCCACCAAATCCATTCTATGAAAAGAGCCCTAGTATATGCCAACAGGCAACACAGAAGCCGGAAAGAAAGGATTAGGAATTATGCAGGAGAAAAAATATGTAGGTGTAATTAGAAATGGAATATAAACAAGTTATACATCAGCATCTTTGCCTCTTTTTGGTAACATTCTGGAAGTAGCAAGAAAAAAATTGGGGATTGTTTCCAGTGACTCTGGAGAAGCTGGTAAAGGTGGGTAAATGAAGTTTATCCTCCCTGGAAAATACATCTGCCTATTTTAGACAATCAGTGCTCTCAAACTCACGTTGCTTCGGGAGCTCACCCTAGCTACTTAAAATTTACTTATCCCCAACATCAAATGCACCTGAGGGACCAAGGGACATATAGGCCTTTTAGGAAAGCTGACTGCCTTAATAGCAGCTGAACTCAATACTACCCTGAGTCTAGTGGGACATTTAGAACACAAGTCTTAAATAGGTCTCCCCAAATCTCTCTGCTGTGAAATCTTGTAGCTTTCTAAAGCTTCCATTATTCTTACATGTATATGTTCTTCTTCAGCATTTTTGAGCCAAGTATTATCAAAATTCCCTTTCCTTAAATTTTAAAGCTGAGTAGGAAACAAAAAAGACACAAATACAAAACATACGTGAAATGTTGGCCTCTATCTGTTCTCTAATTAGAAAGGATCAACTTTTGAGGAGGCTGAAGTAGGAGGATCCCTTGAACCCAGGAGTTTGAGAGCAGCCTGGGCAACATAGCAAGATTCCCATCTGTTAAAAAATAAAACAAAACAAACAAAACAAACCAAAAACACCACGTGAGGAAAAAGATACAAAAACTTCTGTAAACAGAAAGGATTTTTAGCAACTTACATAAATATATGACAGAAGTGTAAAAAAAATTGAAAAAAAATTAGGGAAAGAAGAACTAAGGATAGAGTAATAGGAGTAGGAAAATTGCTGAACCAGGAGCAGATTTGAGCCCTGTCTTGCTCATTCTTGGATCCTCAGCTGACTTTGAGTGGTCAGAAAGGATCTATTGAATTAAAGTATAAGATAAGCAACAAAACTGCTTATCTTTCACTTCTCTATAGCTGTTAGATTTGGTATAAATATTCATAAAAGAGAAATTAAATCAATGATTATTTTCAAAAACTCTAAAATCACTTATTTATGAAACACCCTTTATTAAGCATTAACTATATATCCAGCATTTTGCTATATATAAGACTACAGAGAATAATCTGATGCAAGTCATATCTGCATCTATTGTTAGTCACATAGGGACATTAATCTAATCTATTGTTAGTCACAAAGGGACATTGATATAATCTATTGTTAGTCACGTAGGGATATTAATGTGGCATTTCGAATGCAATAAGGTGTTATTGTTGCATTGTTTAAAACTCCTATTGATCATAGATGATTCAAATAACTGATTACTCCCTTCTGCTTAAACGTGCAGTGTTAAGGGCTGTGATGCTGATTGTAGCAATGAAAAGAACAAAAGCAAATCCAAAGCTGTGAAAGATTCATGAGTGTTCTCCAAATAGATAGCCTGAGCAGGAAAATTAAAACAAAATATAGGAGCTATCAGACATACAATGTGTTTGAATAAAGAATTGCAAGGACTTCATTAAAATAGTACAATTGCTATTGATTGAATACATATTATTTGATAAAATACCATCATCAGACCATTATGTACACTATTCATTGATTCTTCACAAAATTCATAAGTGTTTGGATTCATTTTACATGTCAAAAATGTGAGGTGCAGAGGTTAATTAACTTGTCTAAGATCTGACAATACATAGCAGAATTCGTATTGAAAGCCTGGTCTATTTGTTGTCAAAGCTAGAATTCTTAACCATTACCTCACTGCTACCAAAACCTTTTAAAACATTTTTAGATATAATGAACATACAATGAAAGGTATTGATCTGAGGTGTTCCATTTAACAAGCTTTTCCACTGAATAACCAACACTCAAAACAACATAAATAATATTTTTCATTATCAAATAAATTTCCTGTGTGCCCTTTTGCAGTGAGTTTTTCTATATCCCAAAGCAAGCAAACACTTTCTGATTTCTCTTACCATAGATTATTTTGCCCGTTCTTCAATTCCATAAAATGCAATAACCATACGTTTTAAGGGGATTTTGATCAGTATTACTTTGTTCAACATTTTTTTATTATTATTATTGAGATAGAAACACATTGCCTGTATTGGAAGTTTGCTATTTTTTAATGCTGAAAAGTATCCAATTCTATTTCTAGCTTGACAATTTGTTTATCAATTACTTGTTGACATTTGGGGATTTTACAATTTGGTGCTATTATGAAAAAGGGCTGCTTTGCAAATTCTTTTACAAGTCTTTTGTGAACATATGTTTTCATTTATCTTCGTTAATGCCTGGGAATTGAATGGCTGTGTCATAGGGTAGGTGTGTGTTTATAAGAAAATACAACAGATCTCTATCTTTGAGTTAGACCATTTTACACTCTACCAGAATGTATGAGAATTCCAGCTACTTGACAAACTTGTAAAATTTTATAGTGTAAATATTGTTAGCTTTCGTTATTCTAGTGGATGTGAAATGGTTATTTGTATAATTTTACACTCCAATTAGCAAGTGTCATTGTCAAATTAATATTTGACAGTCAGTCATTTTTATTTTAGATATCCTGGTGGATGAGAAATGGTGTATCATTGTGGTTTTATGTTTGTTGGTGTTTTTTTTCTTTTCAATTAATATATTATTTTTTTATTTTTTAACTCAAAATATTAAGGGAGTGAAAATGTTTTTGTTACAAGGATACCTTTAATATTGCTTAACTCGGGGCTACTAGTGTGCCCATCACCTGAATAGTGTTCATTATATATATTAGGTAGGTTTTTACCCTTTCCCTCTTCCCCCATCCCCCTTCTTGATTTCCAGTGATCTTTACATCTCTCTGTGCTAATGCGTGCTCATCAATTAGTTCCCAATTATTAGTGAGTATATACGATGTTTGTTTTTCCATTCCTGAGATATTTCTCTTAAGATAATGGTCTCCAGTTCCATCCACGTTGCTGCAAAAGATATTATTTCATGACTGAGTAGTACTCCATGGTGT